TTTTAGTACAATCATATATTTTGTTGAAGAAGACAAAAATCCATGAAATTTTGTTTTATAGCTGTTTTCCAGTGCAAAAGTTGCCGACTACTAAGATTGAGTGGTTTAAATGTTGCTAGGGAGTTGCAATGCTTTTGCCATGGTGTTTTGGTTGGTTACTGGAGAGTTTTTTTCCACAGTGCTAATTTGAACACTTAGAAAATAACAGCACACATCCCCTGAAGAAACCTCATTATTTTAGGTGTCTTCCGTGGCTGCTGTTTTCAAAATAAACACATTTATGTAAAGCCTCAAGGCTATGGCCTTGGTTTATCATGGTCTGTAAATCCTAAAATCCAACTGTTTTTGCAGTTTGATATTAATGGCTTGTCTCGTAAATAACACAAATCCTTAAGATAAGAATAAACATGCATACAGCAGGCATACGCTAGCATTCAAAAATTTGGGGTCGGTAAGATTTTTTAATGTTTATGAAAGAAGCCTCTTCTGCTCACCAAGGCTGAATTAATTTGATTAAAAATACAGAAAAAACCGCAATATTGTGAAGTATTATTACAATTTAAAATAGCCATTTTCTAATATATTTTATTCCTGTGATGCAAAGCTGAATTTTTTCAGCATCATTACTCAGTCTTCAGTGTTACATAATCCTTCAGAAATCATTCAAGAAACATTTATTATTATTATCAATGTCGAAAAATTTATTTTTAGGAACTCTAAGTATATGTAAGACACATTATTGACTAAATATATACTGGCATCTCACAGACTAAAATTGATTTTGCCCACATATTTTAAATGAGAATCAATTAAACGTTTCATACCACTTAGCAGATCAATTCAATATGAGGCTTAGATTGATGACAAGAACTATTTTGACATTTTCAACAATAATAGATTGCAGTTATGTATTCATTTACATTGACTGCATTACTTTACATTCAATTTACCCTTGTAGCTGGTGGTTAGCGTGCGTGATGCATGTAAACAGAAGAGCTTTCCTCTTTAGTTAATAACAGTGGTCATAGTGAATCTGGATATTTATAAGTCTGCAAAGAGTTTCAAAGACAATTAGATTTAGATCAAATGGTGATGTCTAGAACAAATTACAACAGAATGCTGGGTAGAAGGACACTAATATATTTAGACAATAGCGCATACATGTGGATGTGTATTCAGATACAATGTATTTATACCAGCTCATAATGTGACAGATGCATGATAACTGGATATTTCTGAATGTATCTGAGTTGTTGTTTTGTTTTCATTCTTTTAAAATTAACTAAATGACAAATGGATTAAGCACAAAAATATGAAACATGATTGAAATGAATCATGATTATTTTGGGTGATGTGCATTAGCCTTTTGCTTCTCAATGGAACCAATGTTATTCATCACAACACGTTCAGTATGAAATATGCATCTTTGTGTTTGACCAAAGATATCTGATATCTACTGCTGAGTTTGTTTAATGGTCTGTAGAAAACAGTGCCAAATAAATGTTGTGACATAATTTGTCAAACTCTGGGCCTGATTCTGCATGCCACCGCTTGTTGTGAATGATGAAATCTGTGAACAAATGCGAGATTTGTCTTTGCTTTGTCTTTGATTAATCTTAGGACAGTAATCCACACCTACGTCAACCGCTTGTCTATACCCACAATCAGGATTCACATGAATGGGTGCCGTTTCCTTCCAGTTAAAGGATTAGTTCACTCAAAAATAGTTCACACAACTCCAGTCCATCAACTGACGTCTTGTGAAGTGAAAAGCTGCATGCTTGCAATAAGCAAATTCATCATTAAGATGTTCTTAGTTTCAAGCCATTGCTTCCAGCTGAAATACGAGTCCTCTATCCATTATATTGCTTTCTCCAGTGAAAAAGTAATCTCATCTGAATCAGGAGAGATGATCAAGCACAGTTTACAAGAGAAAATAGTCCAAAGCAATTCTAAAAAAAAAATATGTTGGTGGATTTTGATGTGCGACAATAACAGGGGATGGACTTCACTGGAGGAAGCATTATTATGGATTATGGGGTTTTGGCCAAAAGTGACGGTTTAAAGTTAAAATGCCTTAATGATCGATTTGTTCATTACAAACACGCAGCTTTTCACTTCACAAGAAGTGGATTATTGTGATGTTTTTATGACTCATCTTGGATGGCCTGAGGTTAAATTTTCAGCAAATTTTAATTTTTGGGTGAACTATTACTTTAATGATGCTTGGTGACATCAAGATAAAGTAGGACAAAAGTGTCTGCTTTGTAATAACTATTCTAATCTTTTTTCTCCAAAGCAATTCTAAAAAAAAAATATGTTGGTGGATTTTGATGTGCGACAATAACAGGGGATGGACTTCACTGGAGGAAGCATTATTATGGATTATGGGGTTTTGGCCAAAAGTGACGGTTTAAAGTTAAAATGCCTTAATGATCGATTTGTTCATTACAAACACGCAGCTTTTCACTTCACAAGAAGTGGATTATTGTGATGTTTTTATGACTCATCTTGGATGGCCTGAGGTTAAATTTTCAGCAAATTTTTATTTTTGGGTGAACTATTACTTTAATGATGCTTGGTGACATCAAGATAAAGTAGGACAAAAGTGTCTGCTTTGTAATAACTATTCTAATCTTTTTTCTTTTTTTTTCTGCCACAGGCTGTGGGAATGAAACAAGTATGAGATACCCCAGAGACAATACTGACTGACAGATTACGTTGGCACATGCATACCACAGGCCCATCGCCAGAAGGCTTTCCACACTTAAATTGACAGGTCATTAAAGGTGAAGTGTGTAATTTAACCAAAAAGACTTGCAAGAAATAATGAGTTTTCTTGAACTCTGCCATTGGTCACAAAACAGATACTAACACCATTGGTGGAGCCAGTTTTGCTGTGCTGGGATGAATGGGATGCTTAAACAAACAAAGCAATGTTTTGATAGCATGACAATGTTTGCACTTCAGGAGAAAGTCTATGCTGGGACATGAGAAAGTATTTTTTTTAAGTTAAACACTTCAACTTTACAGGGGTAGTCAACCAAAAGGTGTGAATATTGTTAGTTTTTGTTTGTTTTTGTCTTGAAAGTAGGGTTGTGGCATTAATTTGTTATGATGAATGCATTTTGTTTGGATCTGTTGTACAGACTGATTTGGTTGCAAAATGTATTGGCATTGAAGTATATTGTTGAAGAAGTATACTGTTTTCTCAGTGGATCAATTATTCAATAAATCTTGTAATTAATTGGTTGACACTAGAAGGTTTTCTAGAAAAAATCAAAGGGACAAAGGTGAATTGGATGAAGTAAATTAAAATCATATTTATCTGCAATACTGAAATGCAAGAACAAATGCTAAAGAGGAAATAACAGGAAGAAGAAAACTTATAAATGGAAAAAAAGTAATCCACAAACACGGCTTTTCCTCACACAGCAGCACAAGTCTCCATTATTGTGGACAGACACACTATAATTCACAATTCATTGTTTTTTACTCAGCATTCAGTTACTCCCTATAAAATAAATAATGAACCTGCTGTCTGTAAACTGTTAAAAGAAATGCAGATGAAATCTACTAATTGAGATGTATAGTATGCTTCATAGGTTTATGTGCTGGAAGTATGATCAGAACGTCCTGGACAGCACGCAAACATCCTTTTGTGTTTGAAAGGTGTGCTGCTTATCAGATAACAAAATATCTGGCACTCTTAGCCTGTGGTCATAGGTGTACATCAAATTATTTTAATAATGCAATAAGCCAATTTTAGAGGCAGATCTCTACTTTTTAGACTATTTTATATTTAATAATACACATTTACTTAAGTTACATTACTGCTGCTGCATTGTTTTAATGTTACAATTAGCCTGTGAATCATTTTGTTTCTGCAGTTCTTTTGATTTCGATTCTGATTTCAATCCAGCAGTCACCACAGAATCAAAATGTATTTAATGTATTTAGTTTGCTGTGGGACAGTGTTGGTGGCCACCATCTGCTGTCAATTTCTAAACTGGCAAGAAACCTCAAACAGCATGTTAAACACAGTCTGTTCGGGTAGACCAGAGACTGGACCCCAGACAGACGCTGAGGGCCCAGACCCCACTCAATGGGGCAGCTGTCTAGTGATACCATCTGCTGTTGAACTCTTGGCCCTCATCCTGTGGTCACCGGTCTCAAAAGTTCATCAAATATTTTTAAGTATGTTTGATACTTAATTACCTTCATTAGCACATTAGAGACACCTTGTCTTAGGGTCACTTGCTGGGGTTAAAGACAAACCTGCAGCTGGTTGTATGATTAATAATGTCACGTCAGTTCTCTAATCTCATCTACCTAATACTTTTCAGATAATTAGTAATTATACATGTAAAAAGTAAAGTCATTAAAACTTTAATAATACCACTCTCAGAAAAAAAGGTACAAAAGCTGTCACTGGGGCAGTACCATTTCAAAAGGTACACTTTGTACCTTGTAGGTACTAATATGTAAGTAAAGTCATTAAAACTTTAATAATACCACTCTCAGAAAAAAAGGTACAAAAGCTGTCACTGGGGCAGTACCATTTCATAGGTACTAATATGTACACTTTAGGTACTAATATGTACACTTTAGGTACTAATATGTACCGTTTAGGTACAAAGGTGTGTACCTTTTGAAAAGGTACTGCCCCAATGACAGATTTTGTACCTTTTTTCTGAGAGTGTACAGTATTCATATTATAATGCACATAAACTATTGATCTATCAAGCATCATATCATTGTTAATAACGTTAATGAAAGACCCTAACATACTATCTATCTGTTTGTTTGTGTTTGTTTGTTTGTTTACGCTGTCAATGTGGACGCTTTAGTAAATTTACGTCATTTATTTCCTTCTCCTATTATCAAACTTATCATATGGCACGGTTTTAAAAGACGTTTTATGTAGACAGACAAAACATATATCTGTTCAGGACGTGTATGAGATGTTTGTTAGTGACAGTTAAGGTTACTTCACTCACCTTTCCTCTCAGAAACGGAGCACCACACCGCGCTTATCAGCACAAGACAGACGATTCCCAATTCACGGATCAGAAGCAGCTTCGTAAACTTCATGTTTAACAGTGGAATCATTTTAAAGCATTATTGTTGGTCAGATATTCCCGCAAATGAACAATATGTAGCTCGTAAGTTAAATAGTTTTCCAGAGGCAGGTCCCGTTCAGCTCATGCAACGTGTCTGAGCGCTTCTCCGTACAGTTTTGACGTGACGCAGCTGCACCTTCTCTGAACGCGACGCGACGCGACGCGACGCGACTGAATCACAACGCTCACATATATTTGTGTGTGTGTGTGTGCGTGTGCGTGTGTGTGTGTGTGTGCGTGTGCGTGTGCGTGTGTGTGCGTGCGTGTGTGCGTGTGCGTGTGCGCGTGTGTGTGTGTGCGTGCGTGTGCGTGCGTGTGCGTGTGTGTGTGTGTGTGCGTGTGTGTGCGTGTGTGTGTGTGTGTGTGCGTGCGTGTGTGTGTGTGTGTGTGCGTGCGTGTGTGTGTGTGTGTGTGCGTGCGTGTGTGTGTGTGTGTGTGCGTGCGTGTGTGTGTGTGTGTGTGCGTGCGTGTGTGTGTGTGTGTGTGCGTGCGTGTGTGTGTGTGTGTGTGCGTGCGTGTGTGTGTGTGTGTGTGCGTGCGTGTGTGTGTGTGTGTGTGCGTGCGTGTGTGTGTGTGTGTGTGCGTGCGTGTGTGTGTGTGTGTGTGCGTGCGTGTGTGTGTGTGTGTGTGCGTGCGTGTGTGTGTGTGTGTGTGCGTGCGTGTGTGTGTGTGTGTGTGCGTGCGTGTGTGTGTGTGTGTGTGCGTGCGTGTGTGTGTGTGTGTGTGCGTGCGTGTGTGTGTGTGTGTGTGCGTGCGTGTGTGTGTGTGTGTGTGCGTGCGTGTGTGTGTGTGTGTGTGCGTGCGTGTGTGTGTGTGTGTGTGCGTGCGTGTGTGTGTGTGTGTGTGCGTGCGTGTGTGTGTGTGTGTGTGCGTGCGTGTGTGTGTGTGCGTGTGTGTGTGTGTGTGTGTGTGTAGGCACTTACAGCTTGTGCAATTTTTGTGATGTCATCTGACACTAAATGCACCTTGCTGATTCAAAGGAAAGAAAGAGGTTTTGTAGGTTTTTCGTTTTGGAAATTATATAAATGCATATTTGTTGTGATTTTATAATTTTTTTATATGCAGAATGATACGTCATCTTATTCAATATGCGCAAATTTGCATATTAATACATAGCGTTTTTTTCAGTTTTTTTTATTTTGCAACTTTTAGTCTGTTTCTTATAACGTTAATGTAATTAAATCACTTTGTGCTTGTAAGTGAATATAAAATATATAAATTGCCACTCAAAGACATTTTTCAAACCCCCTCAATTACCATCAATATAATTTAAGAAGCAAAAGTATTATGAAACGTCACTTTTCTAAGATAATCTCTGCTATGTTATTTGCACTTGGCGAGGTCGACAGTCCCATTATGCTGTGTGCTTTTCTTATTTAGGTGAATTTCAATATTAAAACAAAAATTTATTGGACGGAAGATACCCTGATTTTAATGCATAATTTATTCCTATAATTGATGTAATAATAATAAAATTTTCCCTCAAACAGGCTCATGTTCATCTTCTATTGTTGTTTCTTCTTGCGCGTGCGTCAGTTACCATAGCAACAGTAAACTTGGCCTCAGGCTTTCAGTTTGTTCTCAGATTTGACGGCTCTCGGTCAAGGTGAGTGCTCTAAATGAGCAGCAAAGGGAAAACAATATGAAGATTATATGTGTTTTCTTAAACTTTAAAGTTAATTTGAGGTAAATTATGCCACTATGGATGGTACAAACTTTAACTTTTTAAACCTTCGCTAGTTTAATTGTTTGACGCAGCCTAGCCGGCTAAGGAGCTATTTTGAGCAACTAAGAAGTACTATTTAATTTTTTAGTAAAGACTTTATTGATAAAATATGTTATTTAACTGTTATTATGTTGGCCCGTCAAAGCTGATTTAAAGCTGTTTTACTTACGATCAAATATCCCCAGAAGTCCCATATTGCGTTTGCATATTTCTGTCTGACCAAGAGCTTTCAAGCCACCAAAATTGGCACAGTCTGACTAAGTATCCTGTAATTTTTCTAATTAATTGAAAGTACATTTTTCGTGTATGGAATGATTCCCAAAAAGTCTAATTGATTTACACTTGGATGTTCGTTATGTCCGTTAAGCCAAACTCCTGCTGACAAACGGTTCAAATTTAAACGCATGTAACGTTAATCGTCCTAAAAGTCGCACGGGGGTAAAATCTCATGCTTGAAAAAAGTTTTACAGAAAAGAAAGTAACGCTAAATTGTGCATATGTTAGCAATGACATTAAAATATCTTCATATCCTGTACGTGCAGTGTAAAACCTGGGTGTCCTTGAGTGATAAAAATGCCTAATTTAAAGTTCTATACTTTTAACTCCCAGGAAGAGATTCACAAAAATGTCAGAAAATGAAAACTCTCTCCCTATGGATGCCAATGGCACAGAGCAAGAGACAGCCGATCCTGGGTCAGAAGTACTTGGCATCCACCTGGAAAATAAACAAGGATTTGGGGAGGAAAGCACTCTAGTGTCTGTAGTTTGCACTTAAGCTGACTTGACTTGTCCTTCTCTCTCAGGTGTCGGGGAAGTGGTTGGTGATACTATCAAATGAAGCCCGAAAGGAGAAAATTAAACAAGTCAAAGCTCTCAAAGATGAGCGTATAGAGCAGCTCTTGATGGCCGACACAAGTACATCGTCTCAATCATTGCAGAGGTGATCAGCCTGGGGCACACGGAAGTCGAGGAGGCTATCATCTCGGATGATAAGGTTTGTAAAACTACACTTACTACTAATGTCCTCAGAATCACAAAACATTCTTCTACCAAGTCACAGAAACGGTAAAACACATGACTAGATGGTGACTGCAAAACATCCTAAAAGCATGGTATTAAAAAGCTGTGCCTGCCTGTATTTCTCTACAGTCCCATTCTTGGATAGATACCACAAATTTAGCCACTGGACAGAAGAAGCTGTTTATCACAACAGGCACTAATGAGGTACAAAACACCATTGCTGTTACTCTTTTAACAAAGCCCTAAAACGATGAATTTACGCTAACATTCAAATGTTTGGTGTCATTAGGATATTTATGGTTATTACAACACCTCTGAACACATGACTTCGCTCTTTGTGAAGGTCAATCAAATGGTGACCACCAGCAAGGCTTATCTCTGTCAAGGGGTGACAAAAATCTGGGACTTGGACAGGTTGGTCTTATGTAAGATGCTGAACTGCGTCTCTAAATTTGACTAGACAAAATACATTGGTCTGTATTCGCATTTAGGAAGGAACTGCTTAAGCGGATGAAAGAATTTGTTCAGCTGAACCAGGAGTACCAGCAATACTTCCACCGAATGAAAGAGAAATTACAGGAGAACCCTCTTTAATGACAATTTGAATTGAGGTTCGTAAATCACAGCTTTAAAGTCAACTTAAAATCAAAATTGAACCCTGTATTTACTTTAACTGTGCTCTGCTGTGTCATACCAACAGTGAAAATTACATCTTTGGAAAGTTTGGCACATTCTGCAAACGTCTGGAGAAGATAACAGACATGGCCACAACTCTTGAAGATTTTTCAAGCCTGCAGTTTATGAAAGTAGATGGTGTTGAGAAAATATACATGCGCTACCAAACGATTGTGACCAGCATCAAATCCAAGACCTACAATGTGCTTGACCACCGCAAATTAGAGGTAAGGTCTCTTATGACTGTATATTCTTAGATTTAGTTAAGTGTTTTTTTTTAGACATGATCCATCTCTCATATGACATGTTTTGTTTTTGTTTGACAATGACTTCACTGAGTTCAGAAAACAAATCCAGGGCTTGTATCAGTCTCTTGATGCACTGATTGACACTTGGCTTCAACTTCCACTCATTGTAAGGCCCTTTTTGTCACCTAGGTACTGTAAAAGATTATTAATTGAACATTTGAATGACTGATCCATTCATTGCAGCTCATGACCAAAAGATTACATAAATATATTCCTCCTACACTAAAAGGAATTTTTTTTACTGGATTTATTTACTGCACCCACAGACTCATCAGGTCCTTGACCTGTTGTCCAAATTTGAGAACAGTGTGGGCAGACAAATGGACCTCACCCAGAAGTATATAGTTCTGCAACGGTATGAATGTGACCTTGAGTTTGTGCGCAAACTCTACCAAAGAGAGAAGAACAATCCCTCTTCTGCACAATTCAAGACTCCCGTAAGTTTAGTGTTGAGTGATCAGCAAACTGTTCAACTCTAATTCACACTTATTTTACACATATTCAGAATATCCAACACAAGAAAACACTGTTACTGGGACTAAAATGTTCATATTGTTTTACATTTTCTGTTGCAGTTGGCTAGTAAAATTCAGTGGTCACAAAATCTGTTTAGAAAAATGTATTTGCCAATGCAGATCCTAAAAAATATATTGGACATTATGCAGGTACTTTACAACGACAAGATTGTCACATGTCATCAGTAGATGAACACAGTTTATTTGAATTTTAATGGAATTTGTGCCTGAAAAGCATCTTTTAAGAAAATAAATGATTTTGTCTTGACTTTAAGATGCCAGAGAGAAGGAAGATTATTCAGGCATACAACAAACTTGCTGCTGTGCTTCTGGAGTATGAAATCACAAAGCTTGGGTTGATGGTGTGGAACCGGGACTATATGGTCTCAAAGCTTCACTGCTGACTAGACACCCAGAAACCAAGGTTCACAAGTTTATTTTATCACTTCAAGTTATAATTTCAAAAGACATTATTCTTTGGCAAAATGGAACATTACTGCAAATGTATACACCTTTATTTTTTATATTAAAACAGTTAAAATTATTAGAAATTTTAATTTTTTATCTGTTATTATTTATTAAACCCAAACTATATACTCATAAAATCTAAAAAATAATAATTTACATTTATTTTATGGATTTGGTAATTGAAGCCTGCATTATTTGTGGATAGGTGTTCTATGTGAATCTTGACCCTCTAGTCCTGGAGGTACTGCAAGAGACAAAAAACATGTATACATTAGGTGCTAATGTACCTGATGTTATCCACAACATGGCTGCCAAAGAACCCCAGCTGAAGGAGCATCGTACCAAGTGAGTGCATAAAAGATGTACCCTACATTAAAGGAATAGTTCAGCCAAAAATGTAGATGAGTTTGTTTCTTCATCATAACAGATTTGGAGAAATTTACCATTACATCACTTACTCACCAGTGAATGGAGGCTGTC